TTCAAATAATATATTGCTGTTAAAGTACAATCTAGTAAATACCTATGCTGTTTTATGGTAACTGAACAACCATATTTACTTACTTATTTACTGTATGCAGTAATATTAAGAAAGAAATATAGAATCCAACATTTAAAAAAAAAAAAACAAGATGTAAACCATGGGATTTCTACACTTAGTGTGTAAACTCCAATGACATATTATGTTGAAAAAAGGTTTAGTATTAGATGCTAAAATAGTTTTATATTATAACACTATTGTATTTTAATGCGCAGCAGGAAAACCACCAGCCTGTATTTTCACACAACTGTTCTTTAAAATTGTCACTTTGTAAGAGGCTGAAAATTAACCAACATTACAGTATCAACAAATATAAAATATATCTAATGTTTTGAGCTAATGTTCAGAGTAAGGGGTTTGTGAATAAGTAACAATAAAATAGTTTACTTCATTCTGGACAGTAATGTTAAAGTATGGGATATATATAACTTGAATGCCAAATTATTATGTATTTTAAGTGTCATATGAAGTATGACGTTGTGAAATAAAGGGTTAGTAGTAGATCTACTGCAATACTGACATTTTATCACCTTGGGTTCAAACTAACTTAAACTATAGTAACGTTGAAAAATATATGTGAGGTATATTTGTTCCTCTAATGATCACAATGTGGATTCTGTGAAAAGACAAACTAAATAAAGGAACAAATAATTAATTACTATTAATTATTATAAGAATTACTTTAAATCTGTCTACCTTTTTTGTCAGTTACTGAAGCTAGGGTAAAAGTACACCCCTGTGAAACATTGTTCAACGTAAATGATCTGCTCTACAACTTCCAAATTTTTTTCTTTATCTTTCAGCACAAATAATGACAATATCTAAGAAGCATATCCAAATAAGGACGTCTCTACCCGTCTGGTGTTCTGAAGTTTTCTCCTACCTATAGTTTTTTCCCACCTGAGTTAACTGCGCATGCACACATCGGCCAATTTGTCGCTGCAGACAAGCCATAGTTTTCTGCTACCCCACCGTTAAACAAGGTTAGTTTCTTGTATTTTAATAATTTATATGACCAGTATGCAATGCATGGGTTTGACAGTCAACTTATTTCAACTTGCTACGTGCATTAGATTGTGTCTGAATTCAGTAGTCATGACTTTCCCACATAGCCTCTGATTTTTTCAGCTGTTTTAAAACAGTACCTTACTAAATTTGCATCATTTTCTTGCATCAAACTTCCTCATGTAGCCTTCGAACTTATGTGTATGCAATACGAATGTCTAATAGCGCTGTGATTTTCCAGGTATTTTAAAACAGTACCTTACTAAATTAGCGCAGGGTTTACAGTATTTCATAAGGTTGTTTACAATTCTTTGATAGTGGCCTACAGACTTTGATGGAAGTGTATGGACCCCTGACATTTGTCCATGAAATTAAGTATATCTTCCGCTGAGTTATTGATTGCTATGTTTTCTTAGGTATATAATCGGTTTATTTCCTTTGTGTGCATTGGAACTACACAAAATGGAGAAAAAGGCAAATTTCAAATAATTTCTACCCATTTTATGAATCAAGGCTTGTGTTACTTTTGAATGGAAGTTACTTGACACGGTCTATGGATGCACTTTTGCACTAACAAATATATTTATCAATAATATTTTATCTCAGTGCTGTTGTGGCAAGCTCCCTGTTCTTTAATGTGAAGTCTCCATAAGGTGATGTACCTATTAAGAAAGTAAGTCATTTCTTTTGATGTAGGGTCCTAACTCATCTTTATTAACGTACATATTTCTATATTATCTGTTACAGATGAAGTTCCCAGCAGAGAATGTTTGGCTGTGTCCTGTGAATGTTACTGCCGTTGGATTCTTGTGGTCTGTTTCTAAAATATTTGATTTCTGATGATTCAGTAGCTTGAAAAAAAAAGAACTCATGTAAAATAAACCCAAATATTTCTTACTATATAATATGATCCTTTCTGTTACTATTTGTGAAAATAAAAATAATAAAAACCAGTTTGCTGAAAACCTTAGATTGAGCGTGATTATTTTCTCTTTTACAGTATGTGCTGCATTGGGTAACATTTTTACATTCCCTCCAGTTTCAGATGTAAATGTAAATGTAGAACATAAAGAACATAAATAAAGTGCTACCCTAAACCCTGAGAGAATAGATATACTAACAGGGATTTTCTGTGCAGCCTCAAATAATGTACTACCACTATGAACACAGTGATAAGCACGTATTTATGGAGATTTGATGTCTATAGTAATGTGGTACCACTCTGAATACAGTGAGAAGCATGTATTTATGGAGATTTGATGTCTATAGTAATGTGCTACTACTCTGAACTAAGTGATAAGCATGTATTTATTGAGATTTGATGTGTATAATACTGTGGTACCACCCTGCACACAAATGTCAGATATGGCTATAAATTTCCACTATGGGTAGGAAAAAATTTCAGACTACGCTTTAAATTTCTGCTACGGGCAGATGTACGCATGCGCAGGTAACTCGGGTAGAAAAAAACTATAGGTAGGAAAAAAACTTCAGAACAGTGGATTAGTGGTTAAGGAAGCAGAATTGGGTCCGTTAGGCGTCAGGTTCGCGTCCATCAGCAGCCAAGTTGCCACGGAGGTGTTCTGAGCATAGCACCGTCCCCACACACTGCTCCCCGGGTGCTTAAAGCTGCCCACTGTTCACTTTGGTGATGGGTTAAAAATAGAGGTCACATTTGGTTGTGTGCAGTGGTGTGCTGTGTCACAATGGCAAGTAGTTAATTTTCCCTTCTTTGTTCTGAGGGAAATGTCAGCACACCAATTATATATTATCTTAGGTCGGGAAAAAGGTTTAAGCAATAATTAAGTACTTTGGGTGAAGAGTCTCCGTTTCTGTGTGTGTATGCGTGTCTGTGACATTTTTGTCCCAAAACATTATAAAGTCCTGCTGTCTGTCAAACTGCAACTTGTGTCATCCCTTTATCTAGAAATGTCAACAAAAAAAGAAATGGATGGAGGAGGTAAAGGTAAAGAGATAAAGGATAGTGAGAAAAGAAATTAATAGAAATAACTTTTTTAGTCTATTTTGCAGACTTCCCCCTGGGACTTATTTCATCCTTTCCAGAAAAGCCTCCATTGACCCCCTCACCCCATTCCTCTCTGTCTCCTTCCAGCACCACAACTTAACGTTCACTTTTGTTCACTCAGCACTTTTACTGCCGTGTTAAAGGCACTGTTCGGAAACGAATCAGTTCAGGTACATGAATAAACATTTACGGTACAAAATCTTTCTGTGTTCCTGTGTATCTGGTAAATAGCTCATTTCTCAACCTGGATATCGGCGGCTTATAGTCCGGTGCGGCTTATGTATGTAAATTTATAGTTTTTTTTTAAAAAACCTAGCGGGTGCGGCTTATATCTGGTGCGCTCTATAGACCAGAAAATACGGTACAGTACAGATGAGGACAGATATCTCCCTCTAATTATGACTCAGGTGGATGAAACTAAAACTAAAAATTATTTTGTACTATATTGATCCCATATTTGGGAAATTGTTGTGTTAGCAGCAAAAATGCTGTTAACAGGGTGCTCCTAGCATTCACCAAGCATGTGGTTCCTCAGGGAATCAAACCCTGGACTCTCTATGGCTATGGAACCGACCATGAAGAACAAGCCAACAATATCAGGCAGGCAGCAAGTGATCACTGAGTAACTGATTGTGTGGTGTCAGTCTTGCCTCAGTCCGCGCTCGGGATATACACGCTAAGAACTGTTGTCTGATTTGCCAGAATTTCTATGCGGGCATGCACAGCCAGTTAGCGCTGTGCTATTTCTTCTATTTTTTTTATTTATTCCATAAATCACCGTGGGACCCTAAAAAGCTAGTGAAGGTGCAAAGACGGAAAGAAAAATAATGAGAACAATAGAAGTGTAGAACGATTATATGAAAACATGAGAATAGTGCTCGTTATTGGCTTTACACTATGGCTTAGCAGTGATGGGAATAACGGCGTTAGAATAAACGCCGTTACTAACGGCGTTACTTCTTTCAGTAACTAATTACTTAATCTATCGTTATAACGCCATTAACATTACCAACACGCCGTTACTGCGTGTTACTGAAGCTACTCATTGAAGCTGTCATCCGACTTGGCTCACACAGACAGGAGCTGCAAATGTGTTTGTTTTTTTCTCTATGGCGGGTGTTTACACAAAGCCAGCACTAGTGATGGGAAGACCGACTCTTTTTACTGATTCGGATCTTTGACTCTCGGACAGTAAAATGAACGAGTCGTGAACGAATCTTGAACGAATAACTTAATTCATTTTATAGCAGGTGGCGCTTTAGCCCTATTGTGGGCGTTGTAAAGAAGGCTGCAGTTCCCCGACACTAAATACTGAAGGCAACGTGGTTTGCTTTCGATGACAAAGTCTAAAAAATACACAAAATGCCATAAGCAATTAAACCATGTGAAACAAATTAAACAAATCTGCGAGAACGAAGCGAAAGATTAGTTCAAAGAGAGTGATTTGTTCACAGTGAGTGATTCGTTCGCAGAGAGTGATTCATGAGTGATTCGTGAGTTCAATATGAACAAATCTTTCATATGACTCGGGAGTCACGAGTCATATGAAAGAATCGTTCATATTGAACAAGTGTATTAGAAAATATTAATATTTAATTAAATATAATTTGACAAAACATCACGAACATGTTTTTGTGCATTTTTTCACTTGGTCCGGATTGAACCCCACCAGCGGGCCGGTTTTGGTCTACGGGTCATATGTTTGATACCCCTGCAGTTCAGGTTCAGTTTGCATCTAGAAGTCTTAAAAACTCTAAAAAAACTTAAAAAAAAAACTGCAGGGGTATCAAACATATGACCCGTAGGTATGCGTTTGACACCCCGGTCTACTGATTAAAGACCTAAGTAATAAAGTGAAACAAATAAATGTAGTAAAAACTGTCAAATATAAAGAAAACAAAAACATGAACAGATTAAACATTTTAATAAGAACACTTAAGATTTCAAAACTAGGACTTTCAGTAACATTAATAATGCATTGTCACAGATATGTCACAGGTACACAATAAAAACAACTTTTATATGAGAAGGTGTGTGTGTGTGTTTATGTGTGTGTGTGTGTGTGTGTGTGCAGCTAATGTCGCACAACCTAAAGTTGCTTCAGGTCATCTTAAACAATGACGGGGAATACGTTTTTGTTTACGAAAACAGGGGATTCATCAAGCTTTATTACAATCCATCAACCAGCTGACAGTACAACAAATCATCTAACACTGGAAATGCTGCAGGTTTTGCAGACAGATATCCGAAACAAGTTTTCACTGCACTGTCTTAGCAAAACAGCACCACCGAAATGACCTTTGAACTTCTATCAGTTTGAGGTCCAGAGACAGACAAGAGGGGAAACCAGGTCTCTGAAGCACGACTGTGGCATTTATGTTAACATTTCTGAGCTACTTCTGGATCTGGTTTTAAAAATGAAACAAAAACCGATGCTTCGTGCTGTTCGTTTATACACATTTTTCCGGATTCACAGAAATGAATTTCTGTCTACCTTAAGTCTTTGCCCGTGTGTAAAACATCACAAATGCAAACACTGCCAGAGCCAACCATTGACCTTCTGTGTTGGAAAGCGCAGAACAATACTTCCGTTCAAATACCGTGGCATTAAAATGTATTTTGAGATAAGTTTGTTTGTAGGAATGCATTATAAGAAATATAATCAGTGAAAAAAATCGTTAAAGTGGGGAACACAGCTTATGGCATGTGGGAAGACAGAAGATATTCTAAAATTTTATCCCTTGGCAGAAAGATAATGAAAGGACTTTAACATGTCAGGTCACAGGACAGGGAATCAATGCTCAGGATTGGGACAAAAGTGCATCCCCGACATCACAGATTCATTTAAACCTTGCTGCAGAAAAGTCTGGAAAGAATGACTATCTACTGGGTTCGAAGAAGCTCTGGAATGAATCAATATTGTCTGTGCTCATGTCAACGGCTAATAGCATTTCTTTAGCCACAATAGGAGCTGTGTTTAAAAAAAAAAAACTTACTGAGGTGGTTTTGGTCGGTAGCACACACTGACACTGTGGTTGTATAGATAACGTCAAGTGATGTGTCCGAGTTCATGTTTATGACTGCACCTGGGTGGTATGAAGTGTGTGTGTTTGTGTATGTGCACTAAAGTCAGCCCAGACAGACATTACTTTCACATTACACTGATTTTCTCCCCCCTCTGATGTATATTTACAAGCAGAGAAACGTGGCCTCTCCTACTGTATGTCCACTTCCCATCTGTTTATCATTAGCACTGGGAAAAACAGGAGAAAGAGAGGCCAGAATTTAGATTAAAAAAATGTATTATAATGGACACAGATGTATTTGAGTGTGAGGCTCCAGTTTTAGCTATGTTTCCTACACAGGCAACGAAAAAGAAGATTCAACTATTTTGCCATTCGATGCTTTGGTCACAAAATATCAACACGTTTGTTTATGTTTTGCTTTTGTTTTGATTTGCTTGGATTTTCTTGAAATAAGTCCTAGTCATTTTCTTCTTTTTTTAAAACACCCTGACAATGTGTGCCCCAGTACAGAAAAAGGTAGGTTTGTTGTAGTCCTGTCATCACACCTCCAATGCAGTCCCTTTAAAAGGCACAGATTCTCTTATAAATTATGTGACTGTGAATGAGCGGGCAGAGGAAAGGGAGGCTCGAGACGGTGGGGTGACTCCCTGTTGCCCCACCCCAGTCCACCTCTGCCCCCTCAACCCCCTTTAATGCCCAGTGAGTACATCCCATCAGCCCTTTTGCGAGCATGTTCTGCAGCAGAGCTGCTGCAGCACCCTCCTCTGGCAAAGATTGTTCCTTTTAACGAGAACGCAGAAACTGCCCTCTGCCCAAGATTCTTCATTTGCTTTCCACAGACCAGGAAGAAAAAAAGGAGGTACAATGAAGAGAACAAAAACATGCAAATATGTCTCTCTCTCACACACACACAGACACATGCACACGCACATGCATGCACACGGAGAGAGAGAGAGAGAGGGAGAGAGGGAGAGAGGGAGAGAGAGAGAGAGAGAGAGAGAGAGAGAGAGGAGTTAGTCATCAGAAATGGCAGGTACAGCCATGTGCAGGAGATGATTCAGGAAACAGGACGAGTTTTTGATCCAGTCACAGGTGATGTTCATCAAGATGGAAGTCCAGTGAAATAAGTGGATCCAGGTCAGGAGACAGGGAGAAAAAAAATAGACGGAAGAGAAAACAATGTGAGACAGAGAAAAAAAGAGAGAGAGAAAATAAGACACAATTAGCAAATTGGAAAATGTGAAATGTACAACTTGATGTCACTTTTTATCATGAAAATTGGCTCAGTGTCATTCTGACTGAGCTGAAAGTTTGACACAGGCAGGTGGTGGACTTTGAGCAAAGCATGCAACAACAGACAAGTCGTACAAAAATGAAACATTTTTCTCCTCAGAATTTTATTTGAATGCACACGGTGAGGTATTTTGGCCATAGGGTGGTTTAATAAAAAACTCCTACAGAAAAACAATGTTTACACTCAGTAAAAAATGCAATGAAAACTGAATCAGTGGCACTAGTATAGTTTTGTTTACTTATTTAACAGGCAAAAGGACCATAGATCTTTTTTGAAATTATGAATGTAATTATATAATTAAAACTTTTCTTAAAAAAAATCTAAACTTTTATCAGAAGCTAACTTCAAGTTTGCACCAAGGCAGGAAACTGATGGTATTGGATTCACATTTTTAGGTTATAATTTCAAAATGTTATACTGTTTAACAAATGTATTTAAGATGGACAATGTAAGTATTTTTCTCTTTAATAATGGACTCGACCCTTTATTTATCAGGCAACTTCAAACTTCAAATGCTACTTTCCACTGCATTTTTACCTTGTGTACCAGTTTTTCCTGAGTGTGGCGTTTGTAGAAGATCACAGCAAAAAGTGGAAAAGTCACATGGAAAGATTCAGAACCTCAGCTGTTTAGAGAAAATAAGAAATCTTTTTCTAAGAATCACCAAAAGCACAAACATGCAAAATACGAAGGAAGGGCCAAATAGAGAGCAAAACAAACAAAGAAAATGGTCAGGTATTTGTCATAAAGAGTAAGAAAAATGTCAGCCCACTATGTTGTTGAAATTCATGAAAAGCGTCAAGTAATGTTAATACAAAAACCAACTAGGAATGTGTGAAAGAGATGTTATCGTGGTGAAACACAGAGCATGAATGAGACCTATAAATAGAAACCGCAGAATAGAGAGAAAAGCAAGGATGCAGTTCTTTCTTGCTTTGAAGCCACAACAGAGCTATTTTATTTCAGAAGTCAGTACAAAGCTCAGGATATAGGGAGGCAGCCAGAGTTCAAATCGCAGCTTTTACTTAATAAAGATATCCATTGCATTCATTGTTACCCTGTGGCATAGAGCGTAATTTAATTTAGGCACAAATGGAAAACAGCCCCGGAGACTGGGAGAGAGTTAAAATGTAAATGGACTCCCTCATTTTGGAGAGGAGAAAGCTGACAACTCACCATCTTTGCAGATGGTGCTGATCACGCAGGCGCCGGCCTCCAGATTGTAGCCACTGACACAGCTGCTGCAGTTTCGCTCACCGGGCCCCAGGCACTCATAACAGCTATGGTCACACCTGTCCATGTAGTATGAAGAATTAGGAGCTAGTCTGGGCAGCACTGAACTGTGATTACAAACACCCCCCAGAAAGTTGGAAAAATTCTTTGAGGATAAATCTTTCCCCCGAAAGAGCACCACCGCCGTGGTCCATTAACTGCATGGTTGAGAGCAGTTATTATAAGTGAGAGTTAAAAAATTATTTTCCGCAAAAGCTGAAAAACTAAAGACAAAGACAGATTTCTCATAAACCAGCGTGCTCGTGTGAAAATATGACTTTATCGTGATATCGGGTTCTCCAGTCCGACGAGGGAATGCAGGTATCAGGTGAGGTAAAAGGTTTGCAATGAATAATTTCGCAAATCCACTGCCGGGAACAATAAATAGAGCAGCCAAGAAGTCTGGCTTTGAGGAGGAGTCTGACTGCTCCAACTGCAGAGGTGTGATAGAAGCAAAGTAGTCGTCAAACTATCATCAAACCCTGACAGATTCACAAGCCACTGACATTCCTGAATGTGTTCCTGTTCTCCTGTTCTTACTGCTGGTGAAGGGTAAAACTCTAACTGTTTGAGGAAAACTCAGGATGGTTAAAAAAAAAGGTCAGATTATGTACTAAATTACTGTTAAATTGGGTATAATGTAGGAAGTAAGGAAAGGAAGGAAAGTGAACTCCTTGTCATTGTGACATACACCACTGCACACAACAAAATGCTCAGAGCACCTCAGTAGTAACTTGGTAGCTGGTGGATTCAAACCTTCAAGCTTCAGGACCCAACTCTGCTTCCTTAACCACTAAGCCACCACTGCCTCTTATGTATAAAATGCAAGTGATTTTTTAAGTGTACACCTACCACAACACAGAGTATGAATCTCTGTTGTTATTACCCCGTTATTTCATCTACACCACGGTCCTCTACACTTTGGTGGCTTGGGAGCTACTTTTCAAATGACCAGAACAAAGTGATCTACCGAGGTTGATTTTTTTTTTTTTTTATTTTCATTGCTCATGATACTGGTACCCCTGTTGTTCATCTTCTGGTAGATCTCCATCTGCTTATTGGGTACCTCTAATCTACACTAATCTATAAAGAACAATGTTTTTCGTTAGCATGCAGACAAAACTGTATATATTTTGTTTTGGAATGACAACTGAAGGCTAACATATGTTCTCCTTCACACATGAATGGTTGTAGTGAGGTGAGGTAAAAAAAAAGTGACTTCACCATAAGTTGGTGTTGAATCATACTTAGAGTAACTTTACTTAAAATCACGGTGAAAGAGTGCACGGAAAGGGAAACGCAGAGGTGCCACAGCTAGACTGCAGACAAACAAATCTGTTGGCTTTGAGATGTGTCATGTTGTGAGATGTGTTTTCTCATTGAAAAATCATGAATGTCTTGTGTTTTCACTGTGTGGGAGATTTGCTACTGACTCACATCTTACAGGACCTCTGCACGTGTCCTTTGTCTGAGGTCTGCTCTGACGGGTAGTAGCCAGTGCTGCATGTCAACACACACCTCCAGTCCTCCATTAAGTAGCCCTCTGCACACTTGGTGCACGCCTCTGCACCCGTCCCTAATAGAAAAAAAAAAATCACAAATACAAAACATCTATTGTTGTGTGTCAGAAGTTTTTTTTAAATTTTATTTGGATGTTAATTTCCTAATAATTGAAGCTGTTAGTAAGGTAAATGTCTACCTGCGCAGGTGGCACAGGTACGATGGCAGTGCTCACAAGTCCTCCTGTGGCTGTTATAGTAGGTCCTTGGGTCACATGTCAACTGACACCTGTTTCCTTGAAGACTGAAAGTAGAAGAATGAATATTTTGATATACAGTGAAGTAAAACTGAGTATTTGCAGGCAATCATCTGCACTAGTAATACATTGATTTTGCTAATTTTCCAAAATAAATACATATTCTCTACCATGGTCGGGCTAACATTAAGACCAATACCAACACTAACTCACATAGGCTGAAGAGGCCACAACCCCCAGGCACCAACAGCCCCCAACACATCTCAACATACCTGTCATAATAAAAGCTTCTGCAGATCTTTAAAAAGTGGAAAGGACAAGCCTTAAGCTCCCAAAATAAAAGTTGCATTTACAGTCCTACTGAGAGTGTGGTTTTATTTCTACAGCTGGTTCTCACATACCAAGAGTTTTTCACATTTAGGAAAGTCTGACTTTTATTTTTGTAGGCATGTATATGTACGGAGCCCTCAGATTTATTTTAGCTTATTTGCGGAATTGACCTATTAACAAGGGGACGATTACATCCATTTTGTTGTATGGTTGCCTTAATGTTGCAGAAAATTACAGCCAGAACCGGTTAAATAGACAAAGCAATAAAGAATGTTAAAATCCTGATTAAGAAGGTGAATTAGGCCATGTTTTTATTATTATTATAACTATTGTATCTTTTTATTATTAGTCAGTCACAGACACATGGTCCCATTAGATTAAAACAACTCACTTTAAGGATATATTGGTCAAAAGTCAAACCAAGGACAAACACATGGTGGGAGGCATCCCTCTGTCAAACTCTCGGTCTAAGAAAAATAAACTTTCCTCTGTCTTTTTACAGTTTTCAGTGCAAGAGTCTAAACCTTACAGTTGATTTTCACTCTCTAACCTAATCTGTCAATGTCCAAGTCCAAGTGAACTCCAGATTGAGTTATTTTTTGTGCAACATACATAAGTGCCAGATGTGGGGGTAAGATATTACTGAGGAAGTAGCTTTAGAGTTCGGTGGAACACTGACAAGTCAGTACTGTGGAATCACAGAGAACACTGGTTTGTGAAATTGCTGCACTGAGCTAGAAAACAGCTGGTGTGTGTTAGTTAGGGTTCTCAGAAACCCACTCACTCTGTCCTCTCTTCCTCTTTGGTTAAATGAATGGGAGAGTGTGTGTGTGCTAGCATGTGAGTGCTTGGCTGTTCGTGGTCTCACGGGCACACAGAGGAAATTATTGCTTACAAACGTCCCTACCTCCACCAACGCTGGGAGACCACAATATCTTCTAAACAGTGTTTTCTTCATGACCTGCTAAGAATACCAGCACTTAGTGAGGCCCCGTCCAGTGATTTTTTTTTAACGGTTTGACATGACTGTGGCCAAAAAGTGAACTGGATTGTGTCTGATGGGGGGGTTGGAGGGGTTTCCTTTTCTAAGGGTCTTCTCACGAAATTAGTATGAGTCACTTTACTCAATTTGGGTTCTGGGATGTAAAGAGTCATGAGGTTTCATTGGTTCGTGCTGCTATTCCAAACCACAGTGTAACATGATGTACTGGTGGACAACACTGTAACAGTTACCATGCTGCGAGGATATAGTGTCATGCTCAAACCACAACAATAAGTGAAGAAACCTAGCTGCTTGTCCTTGTATAACACAGAAGCTGACTGTGATGGTAAGCAAACATAAAGAGCTGTCAGACCGATGGATTGAACGTTTGGAGGCTTTTCCAGGCCCAGTTAGGTACGTAGCTATATGAATGACAGATGGCTAAATAACCCAAAATCAGAATATGTTTCAGATCAACTGTTTCCTAGCGGTGTGGTGCCAAGTGCTGCACCTGAGAGTACATACACACACTGTTTAAACTGTTGAACACACGTCTCGTTTACACGATGACTTTGTTGCTAACGCCAAACTGGTGTGAAAAAAAGCTGTTTCTAACAGTTATTAAGCAGCTACACAGCACAAAGTACACCAGTGCATCCTGTATCCTGAGGACTCTGTGGACAATCATTTTTTTATTCTAATTAGACCTAGTAGAGTCTGATTGATTTTTCATTTAATTCATTTCATTTGTTTTTTCCATTACAAACATCACGGCCCATATACGTCCATGCATGCCCAAAATTTGGCCTGCTTGTTAAGCAATATCGCCACTAAGGGCAGTGCTAAGTTCTTTTCACAGCCGTCATTAGTTCCTCAGACAATAACAAACATGGCGACGGTGGAGGAGGTCCAAACAGAGGCACAGCATGGTCTGTGTGGACATTAAATACAGCATGGCCTGTGGATGGAAAATTCTGCTTCACGGTTCCACCATTTCCGCTGTTGCTTTCATCATCTTGCTGTTCCTTCCATCATCTTGCTGTTCCTATTGTGGGCTCTACTGAGCTACACTGCACAACACAGCTCATGAGCATAAATGAGCCTCAAAAGCATAGCGTCAATGTCACATTTTCCGGGATGAAGCGAACTCTTGGCAAAAGAAGCTCTTTTGTGTGGTAATGTAGATTGTTTACTTCAACACAGAAGAAGCTTTACACTCAGGATGGAAATATGTGCAACAGACAGCAGCACCTAAGTCATCAAGAGGAAAACAGCAGCAAGGCCACTGGCTGAAAAGCAGCTTTTCTCTCCCTGTGATCTATCTTTGACTGGATTCTGCCATTCAATTCACGAGTGTCAATCACACAGCAGAACTGATCAGAACAGTGACACTCTGCACTCTCTCTCTCTCTCTCTGTGTCCCTGCCTCCATCTCTCTCTTTCTCTGTTTCGAGGGACACAGTAGAATTTTTGCATTTGAATGAATATATATATGAGTTCTCCACAGACACCATATGCACTGAACAGAATGTTTTTCTATAGCTGAATTTCTAAAGGAAAAAAGAAATCCCTGAAACAAAACCATCAACAATTTCAACACGTTATAACTCAAATTTTGGTTCCACCGAAACAGATTGTAAAAACAAATACTGTGAAATAAAACCATGAATACAAAATATGGTACAGTGGTATGAATGCCACTGTACGCACAGTGGCACCGTATGCACCCCTGATCATTTTCAAGATTTTCCTTTATGGATCATTGGTTGTTCAGAACAGCAGTTTTAATTAAATATATCATATAGCAAACAAACACAGTGATATTTAAGAAGTGAAATGAAGTTTATAGGATTTACAGAAAGTGTGCATAATTACTTAAACAAAAGTAGGCAGGTGCATAAATTTGGGCACCC